GATTTTCGAGAAACGTTATAAGTAAACGACTATAGCATTACCAGTGGTTGTGTTCATCAAATTTCGTCTTTCCGAACTTCCTTCATCCATACCAGAGAAGCGTATGCGATCGTCAGTGATCTCCCCTAAGGAATTCATTTCCGAAATAACAGCCACAAAATCGAATAACGGAATAAGGGACCAGTCCAGGCGATGTGTCATAAAGCAAAAATTGTCTCACCTGCATCCTGTCGCGTTCTTTGGTGGTAGTGCGATAGGGTAAAGGGACTTGGAATGTAATGGAGATTCGTGAAAGGCTTACGCGGCTCCTGTCATTCCTCCGTGACGAATTCGGGAAAGAGTACCATATAACTCCATACATTAATTATGCAATCAAGTCCATTAATTATGTATGCACCCCATTGTTTTTTAAGACAATGACTTGGGTTTAGCATATATACATTGCTAATAAGTACTTACAGCTTCAATATAAGAGAATTTGATTGAAAGCGGCTTTTTCGTCTCCATTTCTTTCTCACGATCTTCTCCCTTCTCCCCTTTGTTCCCAATAACTTCTCCTGGTTTTTTTTTCTTTTCTTTACTTTTTACCTTCTTGGCAGTTCTGCTGAGCCTTGAACCATCGCTCCTCAGACAACGCGTTATTATCAGACCATTATCAAACCATAGCCTTACCATTATGCGACGCAAACCAGTCAGGAGTTCCTCTCCAAAAGCTCCTTTTTCTTTTACCTTTCAGTAAAAAAATTTTGATAACAATATGTGCATTGATATAATGCACCGAAGGTCCCCTTTGCACTAAAGAATGCATTTCTTCTCTATGATTGGCCAAATACCACATAGAAAACAAAATTTATTCATACCTCTTTCTAATAACATAAACGAAAGGAGAGGATAGAAAGAAGAAGAACAACAACTTGGAGATGGAGAGACTGAACTTTATTCGACTTTTCTCGAATATTATCGGATCACGACCGGTGCACACAGTGTGAAGGATCACAACCTGCTTGCGACGTCGGTAAAATGTCCTCGAGCTGGGTGCGCAGCAATGAACTTAGCACTATACATTCATACCTAATTCCTAATGAGCCACCATTTATTTTACGAAAGAGAAAAAAAATCCAAATTTTGAAAACAAAGACTACTAGTCTCTGCGGAGTTCTATTGTTATCGTTATTGTTTTAATTGAACAAAGACTGAATGCATAATTAATGTAAGGGATTATATGGTACTCTTGCCCGAATTCGTTCTTGGGAGGCAACTGACGAGATTCAGGAAGAATCGCTGCAGTATTGCACTATTTCACTATTGCCCAAGAATCTACACAGATAGCAGCAGCTACACTCTCAGCCGATGGCTCTGTCACTAGTAATATCATTCAGAAATTACATTAATTTCCTAGCCGCAGGTTATTTATCAGGGAATTGACCATTGACATGCGAACGTATTACAAAGAGACAAAGACCTTCAATTGCACGAACTTTTTTCCCACCAAGCGTAAATACGGGATAGAACAAGAAGTCCTACGCCTCCTTAGAACGAATTTGTCACGCTCCACGCTGAATAAAAACGTACAGAGTTTCAAAATGCGCTTAAAGAATAAAGGATACCTAGATGAGGGTTTTGGGAGAAGTATCTCTGGATATTTTTGCGAAATTAACAGTATACGTAAAAACAAAGAAAATATTGCGGCAAGAGTACCGTCTAACCCCATACATTAATTATGCATTCAGTCTTTTTTGAAACAGGGTAAATTTGGCGCGTTTGGGCTTTGCAAAACGGAAAACTCAAGTAATTTTCCAGAGGTTTTTAATTTTGAAATATAACTGAATTTTAGTTTCGCTTTGAAAGCGTAAAATTGGCCGGAAAATAACGTTAAGTCTACTTTCAGGCTTTGAAGTTTGTCAATGCTAAGTTTAAATAAATGTTGTTCTTACCTGTTCTTGTTGTTTTGGTTGATTCTTTCATTATCCTTTCGTGTCCTAGTGATGAAAATTGTTCGTGAAGGCCGGTGCATACAGCGATGCAAAGAAACCTTTGCATCTAGTCTTTCTGGACTTCATAAAGTTGGGCGATATGTTCGATAATGCTTCCAAAGGGATCGTTTCCGTAGTGCTGACGCCACATCTATTCCTGTAGGTAGCCATCGAAAAGTCCTTTGGATGTTCCTGTTTGGGGCAAACCTCGCTTAATTCCCCACCTTGTATTTTCGATGCCCTGTGTGTGCGCACCAGTGAATACCGGCGCATTGAAGCCATTCCATCGCAACCCGTTTTTTAAACATCGCCACTCGTTGCCGTCTCGTGATGAAGCACGTCGCGTCCAGCTAAGTTCATTGCTGCACCCAGCTCGAGGACATTTTACCGACGTCGCAAGCAGGTTGTGATCCTTCACACTGTATGCACCGGTCGTGATCCGATAATATTCGAGAAAGTCGAATAAA